CAACTGATAGTGTTGCCTCCTACTTGAAACAAATAACCAGTAACTGACCTGCTCCTGTCTCGATCAGATGCAAAATCTGCATCGCAATAACCCTCCACCTTGAACTCTGTACTCTTAGTAAACCATAAACCATAGTCCACTGTTCCTTTAATATACCTCAACACCCATTTAACAGCTTCCCAATGCTCTCTTCCGGGATTTCCCATAAATCTGCTAACAACTCCAACAGCATGAGCAATGTCTGGACGAGTTCCTACCATTGCGTACATTAAACTTCCCACGGCACTCGCATAAGGAACATCGACCATAAACTTTGCTTCTGTAATTGATTCCTTCTCATCTAGACTCTTCAATCTGAATTGAGTTCCCATAGGAGTAGTCACAGCTTTACACTCTGTCATGTTGAAGGTTGAGAGTACCTGTTCAAGGTATTTTCCCTGAGACAACTTCAGAGTACCATCTTTCCTGCTCCTGATTATATCCATTCCTAGAATTCTCGTAGCAGCTCCAAGATCCTTCATCTCGAACTCACTACTCAATCTACCTTTAAGCTCCTTAATCACTTCCATATCCTTAGATACCACCAACATGTCATCAACATATAACAGTAGATAAACCCTTGAAGACATTTCGGTCCCACTAATGTAGACACACTGATCGTAAGGACTTCTTCTGAAACCCTGTTCTTTCATAAAACCATCAAAGCGTTTATTCCACTGCCTTGGAGACTGTTTAAGACCATAAAGAGACCTCTTGAGTAGACAAACCCAATCCTCTTTTCCTTTAGTGACGAACCCCTCTGGCTGTTCCATGTAGATTTCTTCCTCTAGAGTTCCATTTAAGAAAGCCGTTTTAACATCTAGCTGTTCCAGATGTAGATCTTCATTAACCACTAGAGACAGAATGAACCTGATAGAAACATGCTTTACAACTGGAGCAAAAACTTCATTGTAGTCTATGCCTTCAACCTGAGAATAGCCTTTAGCAACCAATCTGCCTTTAAACCTTGGTTCCTCGACTCCTGGAATTCCTGGCTTCTTCTTGTAAACCCACTTGCAGCCTATAACCCTTTTCTTAGTAGGTCTCTTCACCAGTTTCCACGTTTCATTCTTATCAAGCGAATCCATTTCTTCTTCACTAGCAGCTCTCCATTGTTTACTCTCTTTAGACCTCATAGCTTCCTGATAGGACTTAGGTTCATCAACTTGAATATCACTCGCTGCAGATAGAGCATAAGCTACAACATCAAAGTCATCGTATTTAGATGGCAGCTTTGTCTCTCTGCGAGCTCTGTCTCTTGCCAATATGTAGTGATCCAAATCTTGTTCAACTTCTCCCTCTTGTTCAGACACCTCTTCCTCTGAATCAGACTCTGCTCCACCTGAAACCGAACCTTCTATCTGTGTTGAACTTCCAGAAGTTGAAGCCTCTGAATCGTGCAAACCTTTAAACGGGCCCTTTATCAGACTTGGACTGAACGTGACTCGCTTCTGATTTGCTCTTTCTACACTCTTCCCTTTTTCAGCTTTAGTCAGACCACTCTGAACTTCCACTGACTCTGTTTCTTTCTGTGAATCTTTGTAAACTTCTTCCTCATGAAAAATAACGTTCCTGCTGACTGTACACTTGCCTTCTTCTGGTAGCCAAACCCTGAAACCCTTAGTTCCTTGAGGATAACCAACGAAGAAACCCTTAGTTGCTCTTGGACTTGTCTTTGCACCAACCTTGTGAACATAAGCAGCTGAACCAAACCTCCTCAGATGCTTTATACCTGGTTTAGACCCTGACCACAACTCTTCAGGTAGCTTGTACTCAATAGCAGAACTAGGTGACCTGTTGATTAGGTAAACTGCAGTAGAAGCAGCCTCTGCCCAGAATCTCTCCTCCATACCACTCTCAGCCAACATACACCTAACCCTTTCCATGATAGTACGATTCATCCTTTCTGAAACTCCATTCTGTTGCGGTGTGTAAGCACATGTACGATGTCTTTTAACCCCTGTAGCTTTACAGAACTGATCAAACCTTTGATTACAATACTCCAACCCGTTATCGGTTCTTAGACACTTTAGCTTCTTCCCTGTCTGAGTTTCAACCTCTACCTTCCATTCTTTGAACTTCTCAAAAGCTTCGTCTTTAGTTTTTAGGAAGTAGATCCAGACTTTTCTAGAGTAGTCATCAATAAACGTAATGAAGTATTGTTTCTCTGCCAAACTTGGAACCACCGTAGGAGCTCCCCATAGGTCTGAATGAACATAGTCCAGAATTTCTTTAGACGTATGCTTTCCCTTCTTAAAGCTTTGTTTATGTGCCTTGCCTAACACGCAATCTTCACAGAACCCTAGCGTATCAATGTCCTTGGTTTCTAGATATCCTTCCTTAACAAGTAAGTCAAGTCCTTTCTGACTTATATGTCCCAATCTAGAGTGCCACTTCTTTGTCGTATTCACCTTAGGAGCTGCTGAATGACTCTCTCCCTTTAGAACAGATCCTTCCAAGTAATACAACCCATCTGAATACTTCCCTGTTAGAACTTCCTTTCCATTTTTGAAGAACTTAACTTTGTATCCGCTTCCTTCATAAGTGCACCCAGCCTTCTCTAAGCTTCCATATGATATCAAGTTTCTACCCATTGTAGGCATAAACCTAACATCAGTGAGAATTACTATGGAACCGTCTTTCTTCTTGATACGCACCTTTCCAACTCCTTCAATTTCACTGAACGTATTGTTTCCCATCAGAACTTTCCCTCCACTAGCTTCCTTAAGATCAAACAAAACCTCCTTGTTTGGAGTGATATGAAAGCTTGCTCCTGAATCCAAAACCCACTCATTTCGAGTGTCTTGGATACTTGCAGTAAGAATCAAAGGTTCCTTCTTAGTGCATTTAGCTGATGCAACGTTCACTGAGCTTGAGCTGGAGCCTTTAAATTTTCCTTTGTCGGGACACTCTCTCTTCCAATGTCCTTCTTTACCACATATGAAGCATCCTTTGTTATTCTTGCTGGACTTAGATTTAGAGTAATCCTTACTTCTTGACTTAGACCTCCCCCTTGAATAGTTTCCTCTCTTATCAGATCTTCCACGGTCCCCAACATACAATCCTTCAGCATCAGACTTGGCCTTTCCAAAAGCACCTTTTTCCCTTAACTCTGTTTCCTTAGAGTATGCCGCAGAAATCACATCATTCACTGTAAGAGTATCCTTCCCACTACCGTACTTTAGAGTATGTACCAGTGGTTCATACTTTGGAGGTAAACCGGTAAGAATCTGAATAGCCTGGTCTTCATCAGAAATCTTTATCTCTAAACTCTCAAGATCATTTACCAGCTTCAAGAACACATCTAGATTCTGTTCAATAGTCTTCTGCTCATCCATCTTGTAGCTAGCAAACCTTTGCTTAAGATAGATCCGGTTAGGAAGGGATTTAGTCTGATAATCCCTTTCCAAAGCCTTCCAAATGCCAAGTGCTGAGGTCTCTTTCATCACCTTCCTTATGATCTGGTCACTCAAGCTCATTTGAATCAAACTGCGAACTCGCTTATCCTTCAAAGCTCGTTTAGGATCATCTTTAACCTCAGTGTCTGGCTCAGCCTTCTCTCCATCGCTACCTGTTTCTGTTTCTTCCTCAAGAACAGAATCCAGTCCCAATATCTCCAACGCACAATACATCTTGTGCTTCCAAATACCAAAATCTCCAGATCCATCAAACTTCTCAACTTCGAAACGACCTTTAGTAGGTTCCATATTCTTATTTCAGGTTGATCAGATCCAAAACAAGATACAGACTAACAAGACGCTTCAAGACTCAAGCAACAACTCCTACACTTCAGAGAAACAGATAAGTTTCGAACCTTACGCTGATCCTCTCTTTTGTAGATCTGACTTCTTGACTGATGAGAATCTTGGATCCGAAAGTATCACGAGTATCTCCTTAAACCTGATGCTCTGATACCAATTGTTAGGTTTTGAGCTCGATAATACTTTCTACGGATTCGATTTGTTTCTTGTTTACTAAGCAATCGAAAGAAAATGCAATGAGAGTTTGGTTACCCAGTTCGCTTACGCTACATCTGGGGGGAGACTCTTGCTCCCAATCCACTAAGCATATATTGCAGAGTACAACACAAGCTTATACAAGAATCTATCAAACACTAACTTCGATTCTTGTTGTTTCAGGAAACGATCGGATCTCGCAGTGAATCACACTTGAACACCGAGTCACCGGAGAGCACCTCTGCCGCTTCAGCACTCGCCGGAGAATCCACCGGAGAAGATGATCTCAACCTCTGTTCCCAACTCTAACAGACACCACTCTCCTCCGAGATGAAGGAGACGAAGACTACTTATATCCGTAACAGAACGAACGGCGTCGTGTTACTAAAGACGGGTAGATGGGCCAGAAACAGCGAAGGCCCAATAACGTTGGATCGGCCTTTATACACTAAAGCCCACACTATCTTTATCAACATATCAGGGGGATACGATTAGGTTTTAATAATGTTTTTCTATTTTTAATTAAAACGGTTCTTTATTATTATTAATACGGAAAGAAGTAATTAATCACAGAAACATAGCTGTAATTGCATAAGACCAAAAATAGAGAGAAGAAACATAGCTGTAACTATATGTCTCTATCTTTCTCTCCTCTCTCGCTCTCTCTATATATATCAACCCTGCCTCTCTGATCTTCACTCACCTGGCCTCTTGTAGTTTGCACGAGCACATTACTCATTTTCTCTGGTGACAGCATCCCATTCAAGAGTTTCAGTTTGGTGCACACACAAAGCTCGTACAATATCATGGCCCTTCGCTGCTTACTTAAATCTTCAACAACTTCCACTAATCTCTCTAAGGTTTGTACTTTTCTTTCCAATTTCTATTTCTTGTTTCCTTTTCCACAAAAGAAGGAAACAACTACAACTGACACAGCCTGAAGCTCACGCACTCGTGGGGATGTTTGGTATGTATTCATGAATATTACAGATCTGTAGATTTCGTATGCATGGGACCAAGGCAGCAACTTCTGTTGTAGAAGAACATGTCTCCCAGATGATGGGGTCAGAACAGTAATATTTCTACCATTTTAACGTTAATTTGTCCTTTCTTTTGTCATTACCACCACATAAAATATAAGAAAAACGTTAAAATGGGGAAAAGAAAAAAAAAAGGTAAAAAACAAAAATGTGTACTTCTAGGTATATTAAATATTGTGTGACCTCAAGCTATCCGGCTCATCAATATGCATTGTAAACTACGTAATGGGGTACAAGTTCAACCCATTCTCATTCAATGAGGGTAAAAAAAAATTGAAACAAAGAAAGTTAAACTGAATTTTGTGCTAGTAGTTTCTTTTCAATAAAAAAATAGTTGCATATATATGCATGTAAACATACAACACTATATATATATATATATCAAAATATATAAGAAATCGTTTTACTTTGAAAATATTAAATATGAGATGAAAATGAAAATATTATCTTTGATTTTTATTTACGTTTTGTTAATGATATTTAATCAATAATATTGTAAGAGACTACTTGTCTATGAGTTATTCACTTATTATATATCATTAAAGAATTTTTATTAAAAAACTTTAATTGGCAAAACGTTTGTTATGATGCAGTGAGGATGAAGAGTATGCTGATGTGGACTGGGACAACCTTGGATTCAGTCTTGTACCAACAGATTACATGTTCGCCACCAGAAGCTGTAGAGAAGGAAACTTCGAACAAGGTTGCCTTAGCCGTTACGGCAACATGGAGCTCAACCCTGCTGCTGGAATTCTCAACTATGGCCAGGCAAAGCTTTAAAAATCTCTCATCCCAAAAACACACACAAAAAATATCCATATAATATTATAAACGATTTTTTTCTGGTGGATTATGCAGGGACTAATCGAGGGAATGAAGGCGTACAGAGGAGAAGACGGTAGGGTTCTCATGTTTCGTCCAGAGCTAAATGCGATGCGTATGAAGACTGGAGCTGAGAGAATGTGTATGCATTCTCCTTCTGTTCAGCAGTTTATGGAAGGTGTCAAGCAGACCGTTCTTGCAAACATACGTTGGGTTCCTCCTCAAGGAAAAGGCTCCTTGTATCTAAGACCGTTGTTGTTTGGTAGTGGAGCAAGCTTGGGTGTGTCTGCAGCATCAGAGTACACTTTTCTTGTGTTTGGCTCTCCTGTTCAAAACTATTTTAAGGTCAGTGGTTAATTTAAAACGTTACCTTGGTCTTGGTCTTGATCTTGTTCTTGATCTTGAATTTTCTTGCTTGTGTAGGAAGGCACAGCAGCGTTGAACCTCTACGTTGAGGAGGTGGTTCCACGAGCGTATCTTGGAGGAACTGGTGCCGTTAAGGCCATTTCTAATTACGGTCCAGTAAGTTAAAAACACTCAAGTGAAGTCTATTTTTGGATATGGTTTTGAGTACTTAAGTGTTTTGTGTCATAAATGAGTGTTGTTTTTGTTAATGAACTGTGAATAAAGGTGCTTGACGTGATGAGAAGAGCGAAAGCGAGAGGGTTTTCGGATGTTTTATATCTTGATGCAGAAACAAAGAAGAACATAGAAGAAGTTTCTGCTGCTAATATATTCCTTGTGAAGGTTAAAAGGAAACTTTTTTTTTTCTTTAAGAAGAAAGTTGAATGCTTTTATTATTAATGTAAATATTGAAGTTTCTTGAGTTATTTCAGGGGAATACAATAGTGACTCCAGCTACAAATGGGACGATACTGAGAGGGATCACACGAGAGAGTGTTATCGAAATTGCACTTGATCTTGGTTATAAGGTGAGTTTACTTGAAACCCAAGAAACAGAGTGTCTTCTGCTCTGTTTTACACTCTGTTTCTGAATTTTCAAACTATTTTGCTATTCTTGAAAAGTGTGTAATGTAACAGGTGGAAGAAAGAGTAGTTCCGGTAGATGAACTGAAGGAAGCAGAAGAAGTTTTCTGCACTGGAACTGCCGCTGGAATTGCTTCTGTTGGAAGCATCACGTTTCAAAACATAAGGTCTCTTCTTCTTCTTCACATACATGTATTTATACATATTTATATTCTTAGGATTTATAAAATTATCTGTTGATAAATCTGCAGGACTGAGTACAAATTGGGAGATGGGCTAGTTACACAGCAACTTCAGTCTATTCTTGTCGGAATACAAACTGGTTCTATCCAAGACACTAAGAACTGGGTTGTTGAGATTGACTAATTTGAGAGAAAAAAAAACTATACTATTATGTTGCACTCTTTTGATGTATCAAAAGATTTGTAACTTGAAAATGGGTTTTGTCCAATGGTCGTTTGTAATATAAATTTATTCAGAATAATGTTTATATTGTTTGCAATCGATTCACTGTCTACACAATAGATCAGATGATTCTACCGTAGTATATATTGTTATATGGAAAGTGTCATGTTTAGTAAGCATTGGAGAAAAACATTGTTATCAAGACTAGAAAGCTCTTTCTCTAAGGTGATAATGAAGGAAGACTTTGAAAAGAAGATGATGTGTGACATTTTAACGAAAGTCATTGTCCGATAAAAACCTCAGCATCTAACGTGGCAATCACGTGTCGAGTTTATCCCCGCCATCTCTGGAAGGAACCCCCATAAAGGATATTGTAATATAATATTTTTTTGTGCACGTTAAATAATATTTTACATTCGAAAATAAACCATATATTACTGAATGGAGGAGGGCCATGATGTCCATAATCCCAGTAGACAAGTAGACAACGCACACTTGATGATGAGAACTTGGATTGTCTTTCGTTGAAAGTGCGCCATCCCTAAACTATAATGTGTGTATTATAACATTATTTTATCATCGGTAAAAATTTCTCGAAAATACATTAGCAGCCCTTCTCATTTCTTTTAATAGCACCTTCTTCACTGAAAAATATTTTGTTAAAAAAAAAAAAAAACAGATTGAAACGACATTCATCGTTTTAAAGGGTATACATTAGTAAGTTGTGTTCATAATGGATAACATAGAATATATGTATTATCCGTTCAGCAAATGGACAAATGCTAAAATAATATAATTTATTTGAAGATCCACAAATCTGTGTAATTATATGCACAAGGAGCATAGTGATGAATGTCAGAAAATGAAAAACAGTGCTGCCATTATACCAATTAAGATAATTTACAAATTCAAAAATATTTCCAAAAATTTCGTTAATTGTTTGGTAATTAACCATTCAAACGAGACAAGAACAAAGATCCATTGATCTCGATTAGTTCTAGTTCCAGAAAGACACGTATAGATCTGATCAGGTAGATAGATAGACACAAGTGACGAAGCAAAGAAAAAACAATAATAATAAGTAATAACACACGGAACAAGATAAGAACACTCTTACCAATTTCCACTTTGCAAAAAAGAAAAAAAATAAATAAAATAAAAACGATTTGCCAAGATAAAAGCAAAGACACTTCACATAAGCTTGGCAATCACTTACGTGTTGGATACTTATTTTGACACTCTGTGTTCTTGTTGTTCTCTTCACCTTTTCTTTTTTTGCTAAAAATCATTCAAGAATTTTCTCGTTTTTCTTGTTTTTATTAAATCAATAAGATCATCTTCCATAACCAAAAAACAAAGGCTCTGAAATAGAGAAAATGTTCAAAGCAATCTCATCTCTGCGTAAAAGTCTGGTTCTACCTCTTCATACACATATTCGTACGGTATAAACCGGATATAATTTTCTTTACAATTAATATAATGTATTCTTGTCCAGAAAAAAACTCAAATCTCATATACAAACATGTTTGAGAATGTTTTCTTTTTGTTTTGTTTTCAGCTACAAACTTTCTCTAAGTACAACGCACAAGCTGCTTCAGCCTTGAGAGAGGAGCGTAAGAAGCCTCTTTACCAGTAAGTTCATATACAAATACATTTTTTTTCCTCCACTAGAAAAGCTCTATTTTCACAATCTTTGTTTCATTATTATATAGAGATGATGAGTATGCTAATATGGACTGGGATAATCTCGGGTTTGGTCTAACTCCAGCTGATTACATGTACGTCATGAAATGCTCAAAAGACGGTGAGTTCACTAAAGGTGAACTTAACCGCTTTGGTAATATTCAGCTAAGTCCTTCTGCTGGAGTCTTAAACTATGGACAGGCAAAGCCTCTTACAACCCCAAATGTTTCTTGTCTTTTTTTTTCTCTTAAATTTTCTAACCAATGGAGATTATTCACAGGCGATATATGAAGGTACAAAAGCATATAGGAAAGAAAATGGGAAGCTTCTTCTGTTTCGCCCTGATCACAACGCTGTTAGAATGCAGCTTGGAGCTGAAAGAATGCTCATGCCTTCTCCTTCTGTTGATCAGTTTGTTGATGCAGTTAAACAAACCGCTTTTGCAAATAAACGTTGGGTATAAAACGCTTTTCTTGTAACAAACGTTATAGAGGTTTCCTTTGGTGTTATCTGAGTGACTTTTTGTGAGTGGTCAGGTTCCTCCTTCAGGGAAAGGGTCTTTGTACATTAGGCCTCTATTAATGGGAAGTGGTCCAATTCTTGGTTTAGGACCTGCACCTGAATATACATTCATTGTCTACGCATCTCCTGTTGGTAACTACTTCAAGGTAGTAGCCTCTCTTTCTCTTCCTGTTTGGCCTTTTTTTCTCAGTGATTGGTAAATATTTTCTCTACTTGTTTATAGGAAGGTATTGCTGCTTTAAATCTCTATGTTGAGGA